AAAAAAAAAAAAAAAAATTGCACAAGAAAATACTTAGAGCTTCAAAAGTGAGGCGTATAAGTTAAAGTTGCAAGCTTTTACATGTCATTCATAAATTTAGCACTTTATAATGATGAACTCCCTTGTTATAAGTAAAGCAACATTATTTAGCATAACAAGAAAGGGGGTATAATTCCAATAAATATTAGCAATCACCAAATGCAATAATACCCAGCACTGAAGAATCCAATCTCAGCAAAAATGGACAAAACCCAGCACTAAATTTCAATTATTGGCAGAAAAATAAATAACTTTAACCATAAAGTTCCCTTCATAATAATTTTCAGTAGAAGAGAATCATACCCCAAAAAGAGAGTTAAGTACTGAGAGAAGGGTGGCAAGCGGCTTCCGCCGGAAGACAACTCCGACAACTAAGGGACGCCGGAGGGGAAGGGGGGTTGTTGAGAGGTTACGTATTGAATAGTTTAACATTACTCCTTTTAAACTCTTCCATAGTGATATAATATCTTTACAAAGAAATAATGCAAGAATCTGCTGTCAAAAAGCACATTTCTTTTATTATATCCAAATCTCAATTGAAAACATAATAGAAAAATTCCTGAACCGCATGTGGAGAAAAATCTAAACATAATAGTTTCGCGCGCCTACTCAACTAAGTAGGCGTTTGGACATAAGAATTGTGACATTCTAAAAAAAGTGAAACTTTTTTCAAGTTGAAAATAATATTTGAAAATTAGTTGTGTTTGGACATGAATACAACTTTAAGCTGTTTTTGTATTATTGTGAGTGTTTTGAAGTGAAAATTTTGAAAAATAGCTATTTGAAATTTTTTTCGAATTCAACTTCAAGTAAATTAAAATTTCCGTGGCCAAACGCTTATTCCGAAAAAAGTATATAAAAACAAAATTCAAAAAAAAGGAATCTTTTTTTTGGCCAAACTGACCCTAAAACTAATTAGGAGCCCGATTGGATTAGCTGATTTGAAGTAGCTGATAAGCATTAGGTGATAAAAAGCACTTTTAAGTGCTGAAATTGATTTAATAAATAAGCATTTATGTGTTTGGATACAAATGCTGAAATTAATAATAAGTTGCTGCAGTATTTGATAAAAAAGTGTTGATAAGTTCGTTTTCTGTTAAAATGACTTAAATAACCTTATAATTGTTTACATTTATAAGGGAATAATTTTTTCAAAATTTTAGATTCTAGATCGATTCAAATACAAAATATTCTATTTGTTATTTTATTTTAAATACAAATGTGTTTAGATAAGATAATTTTTATGATAAATATAATTTATTTTATGATAAGCATATAATACTAAGTTATAATAATTAATAAATAGACAAAAAAATTTCAGTAAAAAATAAACCTAAATAGGACAAAATATTTGAAAAGAAACAAACACTGTCTTCATCACCACAACACTTAGAAAGCAATAACCTAAAAATTGATATGTCCTCATTTATTACATACGATTCAAAGATTAATACACAATTACATTGATACAAATATGCAAAGGAATAGAGGATTCACTTATCTTAAATAGTCAATGAGAATTGTAGACTTGAAAAGGCCGGAAAGGGGGGGTTAGGTTGAAAAAATACTTGAGGTAATGATTATCGATGTAGGAGTTTTGTTCTAAAAAAGAATATTTTAAGGATAAAATAGTAAAAATCTTAATCAAACTTAAAGTACTTATAAGCTAAAAATTCATAAGTTGTGGATGACCAACTTATGGCTTTTGACTTATTTTTTACTTACAAGCACTTGACTTATAAACACTTTTAAGTTTACCAAATACATAGATAAGCCGAAAAATACTTATAAACTAGTTTGACCAGCTTATAAGCTTAGCCAAACATCCTCTGGATCAGTTTGTTCCATGATGACTTTATTCTTATTTATGTTTCCTTTGTAACATAAGTACCAAATTAATTTCAGTTTGTTAAAGTTAAATAGGAATTTTTCATAACACAATAATCTTTCTTCCATATATGCTTTCAACATTAACTAAATTTCAATAATTAAACACAAAAATCATTATGAAACCTAAATAATGATATGCTATGTTTAAATTTTAAAAAATTACCAATCAAACACTATTTCAAAATATAGAAAGATATAACGCTACTCGATTTTCTTGATTCACTGATCCAATAAAATCTAATTTAAAAAGTTCATCAAATACTACACAGCATCTTCGTCTTCTCGTTTCAGATATTTCGAAAAGATTAAAAACAAGCAGAAGATCGAAATTACAACTCCGCTGCTTCAATCTCAAGCAGTTGAGATCAAGTATATAACTTCTCACCGTCTAAGTTGCTTCATTTAAACTCGTCAATTAATCTCAACGCCAGATACTTTCTCTAGCTGCCAAAAACAGATTACTGCTTCATGTCCAGCCAGGGGTATGGAGTAGTAACCTATACAACTTCCAAGATCTGTCTAATTGAACTGATTAGGACTAATGTCTCATCAAATCATGCCTCCTCTATTAAAGAGTGCAATTTTTGGCGAAAGGTAGGGATTTTGCTCGCATCTATTGCCATTACCAAGCCAGTTAGCCGATAATCTTTTAGCTGCAATGTCAGGAGAGGAATAAGTGTTTCATTCACGCAATGTTATCTGATAGGAAGTAACAATAGGAACATAATCACAAGAACAATAATACAGTCAAATCTCTCTATAACAGCCTCATTTGTTCCGTATTTTTTGGGTTGTTATAATAAAATGTTGTTATAGAAAACATATATTATAACATAGTATAAAAATTGATTCAATAAAAAATTTAACTTTTATAGTAAATGACTATTATATAGCGAAGTTACATAGAAGAGGTCTGAAATGAATGTCCACATTTCCTTTCTAGTCCATAACAATTCTGTACCGTTTCATAAAAGGTTAGCTTTCTAAATACATGATACTCCACAAAAGCTTATTTTAATGAAAAAAGCCAAGCACGGCTCGCATGGGTTTTCAATAAATAGTTAACAATTAAATTTTGACAGTTCTAGGCAATGGTGTTTGAGTACTGAAAAGAATTATTACTACAAAGTGCAAACTATCATTCTTAGCTATCTTATNTAGGGTTGTAGTAGGTTAGCAGTGTATGAATCTTTTGATTCTCTTAAATGCCTTTACTATTTACTGCCATCTAATTAAATATGAGGACCTTTTTTTGTCTTTCTACCAAAAGTTCTTCCAATTCCCTCTTCTTCTCTACTATTCTCCTTCGATACAAACTCTTCAGGTCCCCTGCAGCTTCCATCGTCGACGCCGAACAACAAAGATTAGGACTCTACTTTGAAATTTGCAAAACATAAATTTTAAATCCATATATTAATTATTATATTTAAGTGCACATTCTTTCGGTTATTTTCTTACAGTTACTGATAATTTGGATTCAAGATTTTTGAGATTTAAATTTGGATCTATAGAACTTTGGGTATTCAAGAAGAAGATCAACTTTCTTTATAAAAATATCTAAGATAGTGTTTAGATTAGTTTATTTCCATTTCAAGTCTATTTTTTCTTTCTTGGTTTACCTCGTAATTTAAGTGAAAGTTGCAATCCTTAGCGTTTGGGTATTTGTTATTATTTGTTAGAAATGAAAATAGAGATGGGTTTGGGAAATATGTAGTAGAATGATGAGGATAAACAAAGCTTTAGATTGCTTAATGTCCATTTCTGTTTCATACAATGTTCTTTAATGGCAATGGAATGAGAATCTGCAGATTGAGAGGGACTTTGACTTTTGGAACAGTCATGTATCGAGTGAGAGTTTTAGAATTTTTTTGGTGAAAAGACAAAAAAGTCCTTACATTCAATGAGATGATAGAAAATAGTAAGGGTAATTTAGAGAATCAAAAGATGCCTAACCTACTACAACCATGTATATACTTTTGTATTTTCTCCACTAGAGAATTTACGGAGTTGCAGGATATCAACACATATAGACTATAAATATAAACCGCCATTATAAAATACATAAAAGCTTTGATATTATGAGAAAAACACTTGCCTCGTCAGTCCTAACCAGCTGTGTATGCAAAGGAAAACTGAAGGACCAAGAGCTTAACTGATGAAGCATTTAAAGGAAGAGTTAGAGATGTTGCAGCAAAAAGGCAAAAAGAAAATATATTTAAAAGAAAAAGCTGGTACCTCGAGAAAGATTTCGTCTTCTGCCTTAATGTATACAACAGTTTGATCGCCACTTGGCCCATTTTGCTCGACCGCATTCTTATGCTATAAGAAAATCCATAAAGCAGCGGACAGTTCAAAGTCTACTAGACTTTAATAAAACTATACGCAAATACCAAAAAGGTGATCAATACCTTGTAGATTTTACTGATTACCAGGTAAAACTTGAAGCAGAAAGAATTCCGGAGCTCCTCTGTAGGCTTAAAAAGACATAAGAATGACAAAGTTTCACTACAACAAGGTAAAGCTACATTCGCGAGAGGAGAAACGATAGACGCAAGAGTCAAAACATTATGAGCATGTGAAATTAATTCAAGCTCATCTCATCTAACCTCATCTTCTATAGCCCAAGAGACTTCATCAAAAAGTGCATCATAAAGGGGTGGCAAAAGCTGGGGAGGAAGATTCACAACACGCTGAGAGACCAAGAGACCAACAGCTTTCGCTTGATCTCCGAGAAATAACCTCAATTTAGTGTAAACATCCTTCTGGTGGCATGCTTTAAGCAGGAACTCTTTAGCGTCCGCCATGCACTCTAAATCCTATTTTCCACAAACATCGCCAGACAAACAGTAAATACGCATTAAGAACTCTCGTATTAACCTATGAGCATTTAGCACATTTAGCACTGGAAAACAAAATGGGAACTTGGAAGCGCCTCAAAATTTAGATGCCAAATTTGACGTCACAGGCCGGTTGACCGACCGTGGTGACAAAATTTATGGTGTTGCATGGATGTAGCACATTTAAAGTATTAGTTTCTTACCTTATATCTCCCCAAGTTAAGAGCCGTGACAATGGAGTAAATACCATCATCTTCATCATTCTCTATTTTAACAACAGTCCCCACTGTGGGTTGACCGAGTATTACATCCACAAAACCACTCAAATCCCATTGCTTATTATCAATGTAGGTCTGCAGCAGGATTTTCACTCCATGGAAATCAGTCGGTTTAGGATCAAAGAACTCAAAATCTGCTTGAACAGTGCCCTATCAAAATCGAACGAGAAGCTGTTAATGTACTAACATCACATACTAATAATCACTTAGCATCAATGAGTAATGGGATGTCTTACATCAGACTCGTCATCATCCGAAGAACCAGAATCTTCGCTCTTGTCTACAAGTCTGTGATTTACCATCCTTTTACCTAGAAGGAAACATTCAGGTTCAGAACAAGCAAGAAATATAACCATCAAACTAGAAAATGAAATGGACCACTGCTCATAAAATTTTTCATGAGATAGAAACTACATAATATATACAATAATTTAATTAAATACACTTCACCTGAAGAGCTAGGTAGATTATTTTCTGGAAGTCTGGAGTTGGGAACCTTGTGTGTAACCTTGTTATTTGATGCAATCCGCGCCATTGAACGAGCAAATGGGGAGAAACTGAGAGGTAGACATCGTGCTGATCTGCAATGTCTTGCTGGCTTCCGGGGCATTATACCAATGATGCAAACCTGAATACATAAGTTAGTTTCTTTTTACTGGTCTATAAAATATCGTTGATAAGCAACCTCGAAAAATTGAGCATATTATGCAGCGCTTAAAATATTCATTCGAAAATGCAGATGACTCCTTTAAGTTTCAAAGATTTTAATAGATGGCACAGTAAATGGACATTATAATCAACCTTACAACTAGTTGTGGTAATGTCTTTCTCATACTATTCGATGATATCATTTCAAAAAGACTTAACTAATTGTCAGGAAAAAAAAGTATTATCTTGAGGTTCACTCCCCTCTCTTTTTCTATGGTATCTTCGTTAAAAAAATTCTATTAGCAATACTTGCAAGACTGTTTCTTCTTACTTTTGAATGTGATATCCAAACAGGTTCCAAACTAATCACATCAGTTTTATATTTACTTCATCTCTCTCTCTCTCTCTCTCTCTCTCTCTCCATGTGTACTAGATATAGATTAATAAAAACTTAATTTCACTTTATTTTTTAACAAAAACGCTCCAAAATTCTATACACTGCTATTCCTGTTCCAGGGTATATTCTTGGCAAGAATAGCTAAACATACTAAAATCTTCAAATGCCAATACCTACGAATCTCTAAAAGCTCTATGGCTACAGGACTCTGCGGAAAAAGTAAGAAAACAACAAGAAGAGAAGCAAAAGAAGATCTTGCTTAACCACCAATTCTCTAACTCTTTCCTGGCATCAACCATTATCCCCAAATGGTTACTCCCAACCAAATAAGTTAACTATTATGTGCAGGGTATATGCCCTATTTCTATTTGTCTCTTTTCTCTCCCATCCTACATCATCTCCATCACATTAACTGCATTGTCACTCGCAAATATGCGATAAGAGTTTATTTTTCAGCAGGGTTACTGCGCCCCAAGACACAAGAATGGCATAAAAAAAGCATCCAAATATGAGACCTAGTGGTCAATAAAGTGTAAAGGAGAACAATGAAGTCTCTGGTTCAAACCCCAACGAAGGAAAAAATGCTAGGTGATTTTTTCCCATATGCCTAAGCCTCGGTGGGCAGAGTTACCCAGTACTTGTGCTGCTCGGAGGTAGAAAGTATCCGGTGGAATAGTACGAGGCGCACGCAAGTAGGCTCGAACATCACCAAAAAAAAAAAATTGCACAAGAAAATACTTGAGCTTCAAAAGTGAGGCGTATAAGTTAAAGTTGCAAGCTTTTACATGTCATTCATAAATTTAGCACTTTATAATGATGAATCCCCTTGTTATAAGTAAAGCAACATTATTTACCATAACAAGAAAGAGGTTATAAGACCAATAAATATTAACAATCACCAAATGCAATAATACCCAGCACCGAAGAATCCAATCTCAGCAAAAAGGGACAAAACCCAGCACTAAATTTCAATTATTGGCAGAAAAATAAATAACTTTAAGCATAAAGTTCCCTTCATAATAATTTTCAGCAGAAGAGAATCATACCCCCAAAAGAGAGTTGAGTAATGAGAGAAGGGTGGCAAGCGGCTTCCGGCGGAAGACAGCTCCGGCAACTAAGGGACGCCGGAAGGGAAGGGCGGCGAGGTTTTTGTTTTGCTGATTGATGAGGTAGCGAGGGGGCCGGGGATTTTAAGAGTCCTGAAGTTTTCAAACAAAACAAAATTAGTCCCTTGATTTTGACTTCAGTGTCCAAAGTATAGTCCTTAAGACTGTAAAAAATGACTGATTAGTGTTTCTTATCTTTGGTCATTTTAAGACGTTAAATTGTGGTACGATTGATGTTATTTATATTCAGATCTTTCTATATAGTTTTCTAAACTTCATTTTGTCGCATAAAAATAATAATACACCAATTCATTTAAAAGTTACTGATACTCTCACCAAAAAATAATATGTATTCCGTTAAAGAATTTGCACATTGCTTAAGTGGCGTGCTACATTAATTTTATGGGTCCGCTTTCACACCCAAAAAATTTGAGACATTTAATTCATAAATTGATCTTCATAGTTTAAAAAAATGTTAAAATCAGAAACCCAAATTTAAACGTTCAAATTTGAATACTACCGAATTTTAACCCTAACAACATTAAGGGGTCATTTGGTTGGGAGTATAAGAATAATACTGAATATAATATATTAGTAATGCGGAGATTAGTAATGCAAGGATTTGTTATGCTAATATTAGTTATACTGAGATAATTTCTTATGACTGGTTGGTGTAGTGTATTAAAAATAACATGCATTGTATAGTTTCTAAAATACCCTCCTTATCTGTCTAAGGATAATTGTATAGTTGTAAGGTTGATTATAATGTCCATTTATAATAACATGCATTGTATAATAACATGCATTATAATAACATGCATTGTATAGTTGTAAGGTTGATTATAATGTCCATTTACTGTGCCATCTATTAAAATCTTTGAAACTTAAAGGAGTCATCTGCATTTTCGGATGAATATTTTAAGCGCTGCATAATATGCTCAACTTTTCGAGGTTGCTTATCAACGATATTTTATAGACCAGTAAAAAGAAACTAACTTATGTATTCAGGTTTACATCATTGGTATAATTCCCCGGAAGCCAGCAAGACATTGCAGATCAGCACGATGTCTACCTCTTAGTTTCTCCCCATTTGCTCGTTCAATGGCGCGGATTGCATCAAATAACAAGGTTACACACAAGGTTCCCAACTTCAGACTTCCAGAAAGTAATCTACTTAGCTCTTCAGGTGAAGTGTATTTAATTAAATTATTGTATATATTATGTAGTTTCTATCTCATGAAAAATTTTACGAGTAGTGGTCCATTTCATTTTCTAGTTTGATGGTTATATTTCTTGCTTGTTCTGAACCTGAATGTTTCCTTCTAGGTAAAAGGATGGTAAATCACAGACTTGTAGACAAGAGCGAAGATTCTGGTTCTTCGGATGATGACGAGTCTGATGTAAGACATCCCATTACTCATTGATGCTAAGTGATTATTAGTATGTGATGTTAGTACATTAACAGCTTCTCGTTCGATTTTGATAGGGCACTGTTCAAGCAGATTTTGAGTTCTTTGATCCTAAACCGACTGATTTCCATGGAGTGAAAATCCTGCTGCAGACCTACATTGATAATAAGCAATGGGATTTGAGTGGTTTTGTGGATGTAATACTCGGTCAACCCACAGTGGGGACTGCGGTTAAAATAGAGAAGGATGAAGATGATGGTATTTACTCCATTGTCACGGCTCTTAACTTGGGGAGATATAAGGTAAGAAACTAATACTTTAAATGTCCTACATCCATGCTACACATAGCTGTCACACCTTCTTTTTTCCGAGAGGATAGTGGAATTTTTCCAATTAAAGTGACATTATTCGAAATGAGATTATTTAATTAATCAGAGTCGCCACTTGGGATAACTACTATGGTGTCCCAAGTCACCGGTTTATTTTAAATCCCAAACCGAGGAAATTTGACTCTGTTTAGAGTCTGCGAAAACCAAAAGACCGGGTAAGGAATTCTGTTAACCCGTGAGAAGGTGTGAGGCACTCCCGAATTCCGTGATTTTAGCACGGTCGCTCAACAATTAATACTTGGCTTAAATATCTGAATTACACGTTTTAGAACCTTTTGTGTGTTACCGCTTTTAATTATTTTAAACAATTATGGAGTTTATTTAAACAAGTCGAGGTGTCGCGCACTCGTTATTTTTGTACATATTGTGAATCATGTCACATGAAACGCACCCGTGATTTACAACATGTTTATTATTATTAATATTCGAAGTTGTGGTCGAGTCGCGTACTCGAATTGGGGTTTATGTATCATGACTATGCCACGGGAACCGTACCCATAGTCACGATAATTTATTTAATTAACGCGCCTAAAGCATGCTACGATGTTCAAGAATTATTTTTCTAAAGCTAATTTGAGATCATTATGAAGGCCTTGCATTATGGAATTATTTGTGGGGAAGATGTAGGATATTTGGTCTAAGCACATATTAGTGTGTAATGATTGCTTAAAGAATGGTTGATTGTCAAGCCCACTGCACGTGGAAAAAAATGAATTCAGAATTCATTCTGACTAACTTACAAAATTAAATATTTAACCAACTCTACTTTTATGCATGTATCTTGTTTCAACGATAGCTATATATGAACAATAGAGTGATTATCATTTTCAGTAGCAAACAATTCTGAGTCATAAACATCAATTCCGCTTTTGCTACTTTCTATGGATGCCCACTCTGTAACAGGAATTCTTCCAGACACCAACACATGAGTACTACACTAATCAACAACTATTGAGTCACTGACTTTTTAAACTAGCAGATTATACAAGTTCCATTTCAGCATGTGACATTACTCAAAATAGGATTCAAGCCAATACAATAAAGTTGCTCACATTTCGAGCAGCTCGGATTTAACCAACAATCAAATTCTAATTCAAATTTAACTGAATTCTATTCATTGTCTGAAATTAGATATACACAAACAAATGCAAGCAGTAGCAGTAGATGAACTAAACAACAAGCAATTTCATAATCACTGTTCGGAATCAGATCTAAACAAATAAAGATTAGTGCCTTAGCTTCTTCTTTTCTAAAGTGACAAAATCTGGACCAATTCTTTTGGTTTAGGTGACTTAATTAAAACGACTGGAGGGAGTTCTAAATTGTACTAGTGTTTTTTTTAAAAGACAATAGTGATTCTAAATTCAACAGCAACCTTTTAGATTTATATTCATATGGCAAAAATAACTTTAGTGCAATATTTGTTAAACGTGGTCTTATCCTTTTTGTTTTCTTTTACAAACAAAGACACACCGATTAAAAAAAATTCTCCATGAAAGACACACCGATTGTAATAGAATAATATTTAAAGTCGGCAGTAGCAATACACGAATCAAACAACATCACGCTTTACTAATGAAAACAGATCTTTAGAATAGTTTTGTGAAAAACATACCTATCTGCTCAAGGACTAAATTTAGAAGCAAAGGAGGCCAAATACATGTCGGAAATCAGTAAATTGGAACTCAGCTTCAACGGTATTGAGACAGAAATCAGTAATTCGAACTCAACAGCATCTATAGGAACTTAGGAGGAGTATTTGAGCTTCAAAATTTTAGTGACTCAGTGGACTTCAAAACATTCATCTTCCCTTTTTAGAGCCTTTGTTTTCAGATTCGAATTTTGAAATTTGAAGAATCTCTCTTCTCTTTTAGATCTGTGTATGAGCGATATCAGAGAAAGAGTGATCGTTTTGGGGGGAGAAAATGCATGTATTAGATGTTGATGAGAGAGTGAAGAAGGAAAGGGGAAAGCTGCTGACTAGGGTTTTTCTTTAAGGGGAGGGGGTTCTGTTCTGTTCTATCTTCTAGGATTTTGGTAAAATGGGTGTTTAAAGAACAACAAAGGGTCAAATATAACCGCCCATCCACTTTGGAAAATGCTCTAAACATATCCCTGTTTATACCCTCTTTATACTATTTACTTATACTTACCCTAAAGTCATATTTTGAGTTTAAATATACCCTCATTATTTTCCAAAAGAAAAAATAATGACTGTCTTAAGGACTATAGCAAATTTAGTTCCTTGATTTTGACTTCACTGTCCAAAGTATAGTCCTTAAGACTGTAAAAAATGACTGATTAGCGTTTCTTATCTTTGGTCATCTTAATACGTTAAATTGTGGTACGATTGATGTTATTTATATTTAGATCTTTCTATATAGTTTTCTAAACTTTATTTTGTCGCATAAAAATATTAATACACTAACTCATTTAAAAGTTACTGATACTCTCACAAAAAAAAAATATGTATTCCGTTAAAGAATTTGCACATTGCTTAAGTGGCTTGCCACATTAATTTTATGGGTCCGCTTTCACACGACATATTTAATCCATAAATTGATCTTCATAGTTTAAAAAAAATGTTAAAATCAAAAACCCAAATTTAAACGTTCAAATTTGAATACTACCGAATTTTAACCCTAACAATATTAAGGGGTCATTTGGTTGGGTGTATAAGAATAATATTGAATATAATATATTTATAATGCCGAGATTAGTAATGCAATGATTTGTTATGCCAATATTAGTTATATTGAGATAATATTTTATGACTGTTTGATGTGGTGTATTAAAAATAACATGCATTGTATAGTTTTTAAAATACCTCCCTTATTCTTTAGCTTTGAGGGACTTTAAGGGCAATTTTATGTTTAACCATGCTTATGCATGTACTAATAATTTTGGTATTGACAATACCATGATCTGATATATATTAGTTATACATATGATAATACCAAATAAGATGTATAACTAATACTTGTATGAGTTATACATAGGTTGAGAAAGTATATGAAATAAAAAATTAATAAGAACAAAGCTAATACATGCATTATTTTCTCTAATAGATTCTACCAAACGCCCCTAACACTAAAGCGTCTTAACATGTGCCGAAATTTTATTTTTTTTTCCTTTTGGTAATCAAATCAAAGAAATCTAAATGTATAAATAGTTTAAGCGTTTACCAAAACAAAGAAAATTAAGCAAGGTCATTAAATTAAAGACTCCAACATAACTTATTTGATTTTTTCCAAACTTTTAAATAGTAGGTGGGCAAAGAAAATAGGATAAGGTAGATAGATATATGAATAGACCTTATGCAAAGAAAGAAAAGAGATCTTACTAAAATAAAGTAATTATGCAGGGAAGTAGCCTACCCTGCCTCGAAACTCAATTGCTCATATTGCTAAAAGAATGGTTGGCATTGAATAATGTACGTATTAATTATTTGGTTTCTAATACAGCCTAAAAACTAGGTGATCTGTCTAAAGATCGTCTAGAATCTCATTACGTTTGCCCCTTCCTTTCCAGCAATAAAAAACAATTAATTAATGCTATATAATATGCTAATCTCCAACATGTCTTTATTTATCAATAAAACATTTAAAGTAAATTAAAACCTTTTATTGGTCTTATACCCACAAAAATTACTATGTATGCACACAAGAAAGAGGGTAATATATCTTATCGATTCTTGTTAATATGATATATAGGCTCTCTTGTTTAAAGCCTTCAGGTATTTTTTTTCGCAAGCATCCTTTTTATCTCAACTTGACCCTCCTTTTTATCAGTTGAAAATTTAAATTATAGTGAGGAATAATTTATGACTAAAAATAGATATCAAGATATTCAAATTAGATAAATTTCAAAATAATATTTAACAATTACGGAGTCTTTTATTTCATGATTTAGACGAAACTTATAAAAAAAAATTAGTTAAACGCTGATATTTTGTAAAAAATATCAATCTTGTACCACTAAAGGAGTGTTGTATTTTAACTATAATAAATTGTTATGAATACTGAAATGGGTCTAAATAGCATAACTAACCTCAATAAGTATTGGTCGATTGATTTATTCAAACATTTGTATACTTGATTCTTGTGAAACAAAAATTAAACAATTGTTTGAAGGTTGACAATACACAAAATTTATTTACATAAAAAATGAAGGAAAAGAAAATCAATACATAAATTAAACAAAAATAAAAGTGGGGTCCATTAGACAAAAAAGTAAAAAAAGGAAATGATTCACAAGGCCAAGGCCAAATTGGAAAGAGGCCCTTTCACAAGGCTAAAGTGGCAACCGAAACAGACAGAAGCAAAGAATAGTAACCTCCCATTTTCCCTTTGCCCTCTGAAGAAATCACCGATTCTCAAGCGAAATTGTAGAGAGAGAAATGGGTACGCTTCAAAGTTGGAGGAAAGCGTATGGAGCTCTCAAAGACCACACAAAAGTTGGCCTTGCCCATGTTAATAGCGATTTCAAGGTCCTAAATTTTCTCTCTATCATTTTATTTTGTGTATACATATCAATTTTTGTGGGTTAATTATAATTATAAAGGCTGAATCTTGGATCGTAGCAGCAAAGCCATTCTATGCCACTTTGCACTTTACTAGAAAATTAATTACACGCAATATTTTTTGTGTTTGATTTTTTGGGTGATTATAGGATGTGGATGTGGCGATCGTTAAGGCTACGAATCATGTTGAGTGCCCACCAAAAGACAGACATCTTAGAAGTGAGTCTTCTTTTACTTACTCTTTATTAACAGATCCAGTACCAAAATATGAGAATTTTTTTTGATGGGTCTAAAATTTGAGAAATTTGATTTTTGGGGTTTTCATATTTCTGAGTAATATTGTGTTTTTGGATACTTGGGTTTAACCTTTCGATCTATACATTTGGAAAATATATAGAACTTCTAATACTTCTTATTTGTATACGTATACATTGATTTAACTGGAGTAACGTGGTCAACGAGGATTCATACAGCCGACCCCAACTTGTTTTGGACTGATTTGTAGTTGTAGTTCTAGTTAAAGTAGTAGTTGTTGTTTGGGTACTTGAATTTCTTGCTTTTACGGAGATCATTGTTCGCCTGACATGGGTTTCTTTGTTTTTGGTCTGAAGATGGTGTTTTTGAACTTGGATATCAGTTTTTGGTGTAATTATGTGAACCATAGGCGGATCCAGGATCTGACTTTATGGGTTTGGGATTCTGGGCGTAAGTCTCAAGTGCTAGTAACGGGGTTCTAAATTCAATTTTCATATGTATTTAGTAGATTCCTTAACACGTATACATGGTTTAGTCCAAAGTTACTATTACACTCTATATCCGCCCCTGTTAATGTCAAATCCGAATTAGTTGAGAGGGATTTTTACTTGTAAATATTTGTTTGGATTTGGATTATTACTGTAAGAATGTGTAGAGACGTTGGGGATAACAATGTGCTTTTTTGGTTATGGCAGAGATTTTGGTTTATACATCAGCGATGCGGCCTCGTGCTGATGTTGCTTACTGCATACATGCACTTGCGAGGCGATTGGCAAAGACACATAATTGGACGGTATGGAGTTTGACACAGTTAGTTTAATTGACAAAATCATGTACTTGAGTGTCTTCTCGTGGATTTGATTTCTCTATGGAGGGCACTTTTATTGATGCTTTGATCTGAATGATTATATTTTATAAGTGTGGCTCTGATTATTGGGATTTTAGTGTAACATGGAGTTCCCAAGACTTAGCTTTGCTTTTGAGAATGTGTATTGCAACTCTATTAGCCTTTAAGTTTATGTTGTTTTTAGTACCATGGCAATATATGTCCCCCCTCCCCTTTTGCACCTATGGCTGTATAACTTGCTAGCTATAGGGAAAAGTACACCGGTCAATGTGTTTCGCCAGGCATTTGAGTGAATTAAAGTAGCCAAGAATAGATCTTCACTTTCTATCAAGGCTCTAGTTTTAGGTGGTGTCTTGGAAATTGTCAGCATTGGTCAGAACATGCTTCTATGAGGATCCTGCTGAAGGCTGCTCAGGTGGTTATTTAATTGTCTGAGGTATAAGTTCTAGAAAAACAAAGAAACCTGTTTTTTGTCATGAAAATCATTTGAAGGAAGCTGAGGGTGATATTGGTATATTAGTTCTTTTATTGTATCTGAAGACATGAAATGTAGCTGCAGCCGATGGAACTGGACTTGAAAGTATGGCTGCAATAATTGTGTAAAAATTATTAGGCTGAATACATACGGGTATGCCTAAAGTTGCCACGATTTTTCATTTCGACACCTTAACTATGCCTTGCTCCAATTGAACACTTGTAGTAGGCCCAAAGTGTATCAATTGGACACATTTGCATTGGCTTGGAAATACCTCAAGCTCATGTTTGCAAGCACTCCTTGCATGTTTTTTTTTTAAAGCACTTCAGTGTGAAAGATGAACCTAGAAGAAGTATGAAAAGTTGTATCCAAGGGTGTGGCCTAGTGGATTGAGAACCTGAGGTCTCAGGTTCAATCCCAACGGAGACAAAAAAAACTAGGTGATTTCTTCCCATATGTCCAAGCATTGTGGGATAGAGTTGCCTGGTACCTGTTGCTGGTGGGAGGTAGCATGTATCCTGTGGAATTAGTCGAGATGCGTGAAAGCTGGCCCGGACACTACTCTTATAAAAGAAAAGAAGTATAGAAAGCTGTCCAAAAGAGGTGTGGAAATGACCTGTTCCAAGTGTAATCAATGATTTGATTGGCTAATTATTCCACGTGAGGAGGAAGTGGTAAAAAATGCACCTTAATATTTGGTTGTTCTTATGAGAGAGATCCTATCAGTATGTATATGTTATTCCTTTTTAATTAGAAATGTTATGCTCCAGAGTCCAGACTGCTGCAGATAACATGAGCTTCATATGTCAAAATTCTTTTTGAGGACTTTTGACATATATGTACTTTAGTTTTTAGTAGTTATAAGATCTGGTTTTTCTGCAAGCAGCCAAACATATTGTGGACAGTGATCTCAATTTCCTTTAGAGTAGCGATGAGGTAGGGTAATTAAGTGGGACAGATATCAAA